GCCACTGAACTAACCCTGCCCCCCACAATATTTTATATTTTATTCTTAGTATTTACTGCAATCTTACAACTTTAATTTATGTGTCCTTTATTAATTTCCCACTAGAATGGAAGCTACAAGAAAGGGAGGATGGTCTATTTTGTTCACTGTTGTATATTCACTACTCAAAATAGCAATACACATTTATTTGGTTTTCTGGGTTTATTTGTTTGATTTTTGGAGACAGGGTCACTCTTTGTAGCCTTGGCTGGCCTGTAACTCACAAAGATCCTCCTACCTCTGCCTCCCAAAAGGTGGGATTAAAGGCATCAGTAAATATTTAAGGCATGAAAAAAAGGATGACATTTCCAAAGGGTGTATTTTACACTTTAATGAAAATCTGTTTGTTTTTGAGACACTTTTTTGTTGGTGTTTGTTTTTCAAGATAGAGTTTCAGTGTGTAGCCCTGATTGTCCTGGAACTTACGCTGTAGACTAGGCTGGCCTTGAACTAACGGAGAGTCACCGGCTACACTGGATGTGGTGGCACATGTGTTTAATCCCAGCACCTGGGAGGCCGAGAGGCCCATCTCCGTGAGTTCAAAGCCAGCCTGTCTAAAAATCGAGTTGCAAGGCAGCTAGGGCTGTTACACGGAGAAACCCTGTCTTGAAAAAGAAAACAACAACAAAAAATGCACTGGTTTCTCTTCCAGAGGACCCGTTCAATTCCCCAGCACTTCCATGCCGGCTCACAACCATCTTTAACTGCAGTTGGATTCTGGGGATCCAAAAATCTGTTCTGGGCTCTACAGGCACCAGGCACCAACATGGTGCAAATACATATATATATGCAGGCCAAGCACTCATACACATAAAATTTTAAATTAAATAACTTAAAAAGAGGCCGGCATGGTGGTGCATACCTTTAATACCAGCACGGGGCAAGGCAGGAAGATGAAGTCTCGGTGACTTCGAGGCCAGCCTGGTTTACATAGTGAGTTTCAGGCCCGTCAGGAACATACAGTGAGACCTTGTCTCAAAAAAGAAGAGGAAATATTATGAACATGATGCAGTTCCGTGACAGTAGGTTTGTCTACCATGTTTAAGGTATCCTCACAAAAAGAAAAGAATGTGTTCAAACGGGAAACTGAGTCTGAGAGAACAGAAGGATGGAAACAGATGCTCCTGAAACGCAGCGACACACAGGTCTTAAGCTGCGACCATTGCAGGCATTCGTTCCCAAGAGATTAGCATGCAAACACCACCTGACCACGGGGGGCGGGGCCAGGCGGACGCCGGGGCGGGGCCAGGCAGAAAAACCCCTTGGCCGGAAATTCAAGGCGGGGCCAATAGGTAGGCCCCGCAAGTAAGTGCCCGCCCCCAACTAGTACGTGACTAAGGTACGTCAGCATCACTTCCGGTTTGGTAGGCTAGAGCGGGAAACAAAAGGAGACGGAGAACGCATGCGTTGAGTGGGTCCCGGATTCTGGTGGGTTCTTCCGCTCAGTCCTGGGGAAGCGCTTCCGGGTCGCTGCCGGCTGCCGGCTCTTGGCGCGGTAAGTGCGGAAACGAAGCTGTTGCTGTCTCCTTGCTCGTTCTTTCCTCCTGCTTCCAGAGAAACCCAGTTCCTTTGACTCGCCTCCCCAGCAACTCAGCTGTTCGGCTCCTTTACGCTTAACGACACCCTGCTCATTGGCCGCTTCCTTGAGTCTAAGCCCCACCCATCACCCAAGTTCCGTCATTCATTGGTTTCACTTCCTGTCACCCAGCATTTCTTTCAGTTAATTGGCTTCAGCCAGGCCGCGCGCATTTTTGCGATTAGCTTCCCTATAAGGACAAATTCCTGTCGGAGACCCGCCCCTGCCTCCTTCCTGTTGGTCGAGCTCACAGTCATTATCATAATGAGCGGAGTATGGGCGGCGGTGGGTAGGGTTTTAGGATACAGGTTCTGTCAGTACTTTTGGCATGAGGGTGGGCGCTGTTCGCCTGTCACACGGGCCTGGGGAGCTTTGGTCTAGGGAATGGCAGCGGCTAGTTCTGCGTGGATCCCATTAGAACAAAAGCTAGAGTAGAGGCGAGTGTGGTGGCTGGCGTACGCCTTTAATCCCAGCATTCGGGGGCTGAGGCATGCGGATCTCTGTGAGTTTGGGACTAGCCTGGTCTATAGAGTGAGTTCCACACCAGCCAGGGCTACGTAGTGAGACCCTATCTCATTTAAAAAAAGAAAAGAAAAGGAAAAAAAAAAAGAGAGAGAGACACTATTTCTGTTTTTTCCTGCGCTCTTGCTACGTTACTGGGCCAGGATCCCTTCCTTGTGTGTGTTCTAAGTAAGCCCCACCCGGTGTGCGACCCAAAGTCAAGCTTACCTGTCACTGGGTCTTATGAGCTGATGGATTTTAATTCAGCTTCTTGATGATCTTCCTGGTCATCAGCTTTAATCCACAAAGTTGATTTTGTTTGTTCTCTTTGTTTGTTTAATCCACAAAGTTGATGTCAGTTCATCACTCATTCCTCTATTTGTCTGTATTTATCCATGCTTCCTAGTAATATTTTATCCTTGGTTGTGTGTAGTGATCGGTGAAAGAGGTGGTTCACACTAACATTTTTGCACTGGTTGGATGTGATATGAATCAAGAGTAAAAAATGAGTTTTATGATGTGTGTGTGTGTGTGTGTGTGTGTGTGTGTGTGTGTGTATGTTTAAAGAGAATTTTTCCTAGATCCCTGCTATTGCTAATTTTGTACATAATCACAATGCCACATTCCATCTCTGGCTCCCAGTCTCTTCTCTCCTTGAGCAGCATACAACTTTATCCATTATTTTATTTTGTTTTCAGAATAACTTTGAGGATGATATGATTGTTATTATCCCCATTTTTACAGATGAGGAAACTGAGGCCCAGAGAGGTTAAGTGTATTGGCCAAAGTCAAACAGCTAGTAAGTGATGGAGCCAGGACTCAAACTCAGGTCTGTCTGATTTCGAGAGGGAAGGGAAGCTTCTCTGCTACCTCCCACTCCACCCCACCCCTAAATCAAATTACAACTGCATTGAAACAAAACAAAACATATTCACTTGACCCTTTCCCTCAGCTTAGGAGCCATGTCCACTTTGTTCCCTTCCCTGTTCCCTCGTGTGACTGAGACATTGTGGTTTAATCTGGATCGACCCTGTGTGGAGGAGACAGAGCTGCAGCAGCAGGAGCAGCAGCATCAGGCTTGGGTGAGTGAGGACCAAGCTCAGCATGAAGATGACCATGGGTCATGACCTTGCCTTATTCTGGAGACCTGCTTAGTACTTTTCTCTGGGTTGGGAATAGTCAAGCTGGGTACTTGGAGGCTAAAGCTCTCATTTTGTAGTACTCTAACTGGCTGAGGGGCCACAGGACTTCAGGGCTAGGTAAGATGTCAAGCTTCTGACAGCCTAAGTTCTTTTCTATAAATCACAGGACTTAATCATTTTAAATTAATTACTTAAAAAGGACCTACAATATTCTAGGCCAAGTGTCTCACTTCACCCTCACCAGAATTACATGAGAAAACTGAGACCAAAAGACTTTACATATGTCCATCAATTTTATCAGGAGCAGATGACAGGAGAAAGGGGGATTGAATCTTCCTGAGAACTGGGGGTGGGGGAATCTTTGTTTCAACATTTGGGGGTCTTCTGAGGGGTATAGTAAGCTAATCCCATGCCCTTGACCTGCTGTGCTTGGGCCTTGGCCCTGCTTTTCCCCCAAACGCCTTTGCCCACAGCTCCAAAGCATCGCAGAGAAAGACAACAACCTGGTACCTATTGGCAAGCCAGCCTCAGAGGTGAGTGGCTGGCTGGGGGGGAGTGCGGGGGGGCGGGGATGGGGTGGGGGGGCTGTGGTTTGTGAAGCCCTGCTTCTGTCTCAGAACAATTGTGGTTCTCAACCTGGGTAGACAGCTAAAGTGGGAACTTGAGGTGCAGGCATTGGGCCTAGCACTAAGGTCCCTCAGGTCATGCTGCAGCCTGCCATACCAAGGTGGGCAGGGTTAGGAAGGAGGAGGCTCCAAGGAGGCCAGCTCTTGACCTGGTCCAGGTAGCCCTGAGACCTACAGACTCTCTCTTGCCCTACCAGCACTATGATGATGAGGAAGAAGAGGATGATGAAGATGATGAGGACAGTGAAGAGGATTCAGAAGATGATGAGGACATGCAGGACATGGATGAGATGAATGACTATAATGAGTCACCTGATGATGGAGAGGTCAATGAGGTAGGCGGGGTGTAGGGAGTGCCTTTGTTCCTAGGCTCCTGCCCCTGATCTAATTGATGGCCAAGGGATGCAGAAACCCTGGCTCTACCCAGGGGCAGGATCTGGGCTGAGGCTGGCTGAGGCCCCTCCCCACCCACACCCAGCCTCCTCTTCAGGTGGACATGGAAGGCAACGAACAGGATCAGGACCAGTGGATGATCTAGGTAGACAAGCCAAGGTGGCCTCAGGGTGATTCCGGGCCACCCCAACCTATCTTGCATCCACAGCTTCAGCCCCTCAGCCTGCAGAACCAACTTGTGGCTGTAGTGTCTAAAGCTTTCCCTTAGGCACTTTCTCAGCTGCTGCCAGGACAAGGTTTCCTTGGGCCCTCCCAGGCCATCAGTCTTCCCTTGAATCCCTAGAGCCTGAGCCCATCCCACCTTCCTGGCTGGTACCTCATTCCTTGGTTGCCAGGTGTGGTCCCTTTCTAACCCTCTTTAATAAAGACACAGGACTGATTCTTTCCCCCAATGTCTATTCCCTGTTTGTTGGTGGGACCCAGAGAAGTCCAGTATCTTTTCTTGGACATTGGGAAGGGGTCATTTAAGGGATCTCAAGCAAACCTAATGGACCAAGTGGGCCAGGATTGGAGCCCAGCCTTCTCTGATTGATAATTCCTGTGGCCTAGCTTGCACCCAGATGCTCTCTACAGGGCCTCATTGTCTACAGCTGCCTCTGATCCCATCCAGAAGCTGTCTGAGACTCACAGCTGGGATTCTCTGGGCACTGCCAGCCAGCTGTCTTCTTTTTGTTGTCATTTATTTATTTTCTGCTTAGAGATTTTTGTCTGTATGTATGTATGTATATCACATGTGTGCCTGTGTCATGTGAGTGTTGGGAATTGAACCTAAGTTCTCTAGTTAGAGAGCAACAGCCAATTCTCTTAACTGTTGAGCCATCTTTCCAGCCCCTTAGTGTTAAGAGAATAGACTGAATCTCAGAAGAGGGAAGGACTCACCTGGAGGGAGCAATCAATAACAGAACTAGGTTGAAGGCTCAGCCTCTTGCTTCCAGTCTCTGGTTTTCTAGGAGAGGACCTTGTGAGACCAAGGAGACTGAGACTTTGATGCTTTGGATCGGTATGGAGGCTGGGGTTGAGCAAAGTTGAGAAGCCTCCCCAGCCTGAACCTAGCATATGCTGGACACTAAACCAAAAGGGAAAGGGGATATTCTGAGGTCCTTGCTTGAATGGGGTTGGGATTGTATCAGTCAATATCCCAGGTCCTGGATCTCAGCCAGGTCCAGCATAGGTGAGTTGGGCTATGCCATCCTTGATGGCAGGGAAGTCTGGGAGGCTGGTGTGGTGGAGGCGACAGCGATAGCGGCCGCAGCTCTTGGTGTACTGTAGGAAGCGGGGTGCACCAGGAAAAAGCACATGGTCAGCCAATACTGTGGCACCATTTGGAAGCAGAGCATGGGCCTCCAGTAGCTGCAGATCCCTTAAGTAATATCGAGGTCGGTGTGCCAGGAGCACCAGATCTGCCCGATTCAGCTGGTGCTGAGCTCTTAGACGTGGGATCACTTCCTCTGAGCTTCCTGCAATGAGTTCCACCTGTGGGGAAAGCCATAGGAGGTGAGAATACGGAGGAATGGTTTCCCACTCCAGACCCCTCGGGATCTGGCTGATGTCATGCCAGGTACTGGTGTAGGCCCTCAGGAGTGTCTCACATTTCCTCTGGCCTCAGAAATCCAGAAGTCAGTATCACTATTGTAATTTCCATTATGTGTCCACGAAGAAGCTGAGAATCAGAGGATATGTGCTTTACCTGAGGCCACACAACTAACTGAACAATAAGCTTTGGACTCAGATTTGCTTGGCTATGGGGAGCCTCCTCTTAGAGCTGCTGCTTTTGTAGTCCAGTAGGAACTAAGAGCAAATGACTCTGGATTGAGGGGGTAGGAGCTACATGCCCTCCAGTATGCCAGCTGCCTGGTGGAATTCCTTGAATGGGAGGCCCTCACAAAAGAGGCCTGGCTAGAGCAATTCCTGGGGTAGTTGAGGAGAGACCAGCTTTGGGGAGATGGGAGCCTGACCATTTGCTCATCGAAGCCAGCCAGCCGGATGAGTTTTTCAGCCACTGCTGCTGTACGAGGGTCGCGCTCCACAGTGAGAAGGCGACTCCCAGGGGGCAAAGCGCGTGCAATGAGCAGTGTAGAATATCCGCAGTAGGTGCCCAGCTCCAGCACACAAGCAGGGGCCTTCTCTTCTACCAGCCGCATCAGAATCTGACCTGTGGGGCAAGATGGCTGCTGTAGAAAACATCCAAAATGGGTGTGCCCAGAATCCAACATGCTGCTGTGCTTTCTTCATGTTGTATTTAGAGATGAGGCTGACAGGCTGACTGCCCTTTCCCACTCCTGTCCCCATCCTCCTGGCCAACTTGAATCCAGGCATTCTAGACTCAGTTTAAATGTTCCTTCCTCCAGGAGGGCCCAAGCAAAAACAACCACCCCACCTTCCAGGTTCCTGAGACATTGTCAGTTTCATACTCAAATCCCTGCACTCCCCCTATTGCTCGTTGACTTTTTGATTTTGGAATTGGATACACCTCTTAATACTTAAGTACTGTGCTGTCTAAGCAGACAGCTATCCTCAATTAGACGTGGACGTCTCTGGTAGGGAAGAAAGTCTAGAACAGATCATTACAAAGCTCGGAGTTATGATTATTTCCCTGTGTTATGCTCTTTGAGGCCAGCATTTGTGGCTGGTTCACCCTCTGTGACTTCTACCTCCTCCCTCAGCACCTGGTACAAAAGAGTGGCAATAAATGTCTGCTGGATAATTGAACTTGGTCCAGGCTCCTCATTTCCAAATGAAAAAAAAGTCATAAACACAATCTTGAAGCTTCCTATTTACCCAGTAAAGCAGTGGGTAATGCCAGATCTTTCTTCACCATCTTGGGATTATTTCTGAAACAGAAGGCTAAGGAAGGGGTCACTGACCTTTAACAGGGCCCATGTGGCTCAGGTACTCGCAGCAGCTGCTCCAGTGGTCTAGAGTGGTGAGGATGTGACCAGGGTCTCCAGGCAGGGCATGGGTGAGCACGTAGCTGAAGGCCCGCTCCTCAATTCGAAGTCCTGACAGGCAGTCCCTGAAGCTTCTTAGCAGGACTGTACGCACCAGCAGTCGGAAATGATGCCGGTATCTCACCAGCAGCGTCACCACAAGTGGCAGGAATGCCAGTGCAATGGCAGGGGACATTGTCCCTACCTGGGTCCTAGGACAGAGGGAGGCTGGGAGGGAAACCTACATGTACCATTTGCCTGTCATTTGTGCAGCCTTTATCAGTTGCAACTCTTATCCAAACTGGCTGAGAGAGGCTGACTTTTGCCAGAGACACAGCAGAACTGGAATCTAAGTCTTTCCATGCCTGTGTTTAGCACCCTACCTCAACTATATCTCTTTTAGTCATGACTGGGGATCCATTTCTACATTGTTCCCTATCTCCATCCACTTTTTGACTTCCCTAACATCACTCTTCTTCAGGACCTTTTCATCAGTTTCTTGGGGTATCTTCCTGCCACCATACTCTGATCCATTCATTATAGTGTAGCCAAAGAGAAAAGCTTGCCGGGCACACACCTTTAATCCCAGTACTCGGGAGGCAGAGCCATATGGATCTCTGTGAGTTTGAGGCTAGCTTGGTCTACAAAGAGAGATCCAGGACAGGAACCAAAACCACATGGAGAAACCCTGTCTTGAAAAACCACACACACACACACACACACACACACACACACACACACACACACACACAGAGACACCACACATTAAAAACAAAAATTAAAAACCAGAAAAAAAGCTTTGTGTTCAAATCACTTCACTCTCCCACTATGCTCTGCTTCAGTAAATGGTATCAAAACACTGCCTACAGCTGGAGAGATGGCTCAGTGGTTAAAAGGATTTGCTGCTCTTGCAGAGGACGTTGGTTCAGTCCCAGCACTCACATGGTGGCTCACCAACGTTTATAACCCCAGTTCCAGGAGATCCAACCCCTCTTCTGACCTTCAAGGGCTCACACAGTGATGAACATGAGTATAAGCAAAACACAAAATCTTAACAGCAAAACCAAAACAAATTGGAGAGATGGCTCAATGGTTAAGAGCACTGAATGCTCTTCAAAGTTTCTCAGCACCCACATCTGGTTGCTCTCAACTGTCTGTAACTTCAATCTCAGGGGATCTGAAGCCCTTTTTTGGTCTCTGCAGGCACCGCATTGCACATGGTACACAGAAGTCATTCAGGCAAAGCATGCGTACATATAAAATAGAAATAAAATCTTAAAAAAAAAATCCATGGTATTTTGGTGTACACTTGTAATCCCATCATGCAGAAGGCCAAGGTAGAAGGATCTCAAGTTTGAAGCCAACTTGGGCTACATTTGAGACCCGTCCCAAAAGTAATTTCACCCTCTCTACCATGTTAGGCTGGACTGTCTTTTCCATTCAAGAGCTCTTTCTGTCTGCTTTGCTTTTGAGGTGTTCATCCTCCTTGGTTCTATATATTTTCTCCCACTGCTCCCCTGCCCAGATCTGACCTTGGCGAGCTGTTTTTGCAAAACCCTTGGTTGGAAGGGGAGTGTATGCTAAAATTTAGAGTATATGAATGAATGTGAAGAAGTTTGTGATATGAGCATGAATTGGTGTGCTTGGAAACCCACAAGGCCCTGCTTACCTGGGCTGAAGGCTCCTAGGAAAGACCAGAGTACCGGAATTGGAAGTCCTTGAGAGGAATAACCCTGAAGGAGGCTAGACCTGATTTCAATTATTGATGCTGAGGCTGTTGTTACCTGAGACCTGCAGTTCAGGTTACCAGGCCCAGGGACAAATTTCAGCTGCCTTCCCCCCACCCCCACACCTGCCAGGAACCCTAGAGAAACAGCAAAACTCTAGGGTCTTGATTTGAAGAATGAATAAAAGCTGCTAGGTCTGGTGACTTCTCCAATCCCTTGGGATCAGGACATGGGGCATGATATAAGCCGAAATAATTGAGACTTATATACTCAGTTCAAAATCCAAGTTTTCTGTGTTAGGGCATAGGTCACAGAGAAGAGTTAGACTCTGTCCCTGTCTTTCAGTAGCTCACATTTAGTAGCAGAGATGAAATCAGAAACAATAAAATACACTGTGATCACCAGACTAGGGAATTCTACAATTATGAGGGAGTGGCACACCACACCGTAGGCAGTAAATATTTGTGGCTTTGTTTTGTTTTTTATTATTTATGTATACAGTGTTCTGCCTGCACACCAGAAGAGGGCACCAGATCTCATTATAGATGGCTGTGAGCCACCATGTAGTTGCTGGGAATTGAACTCAGGACCTCTGGAAGAGCAGCCAGTGCTCCTAACCTCTGAGCCATCTCTGCAGCCTTTGGGGTTTGTTTTAAATTTATATATATGCATGTTTGGTCTGCATGTGTGTCTGTGCACCCTGTACGTGTATGAGGCCAGAAGAGGGTGTCGTTTATCCTGGGACTAGAGTTATAGATGACTGTGAGCCACTATGTGGTGCTGGGAATTGAACTTGGGTCCCCTGGAGGAGCCAGTGCTCCTAGTCATTGAGTTGTCTCTAGCCCTAACATTTGCCATTTGAGTAACTGATGCCATCAGATTAAGTAAAGAGACGGAGGTGCTCAGAATAGGATCAGAAAAGGCAAACAGGAAGATTTGTATTTGGGTTTTGAAGATTGTAACCCCTGATTTGGAGGGAGGAGTGTGTGCCATCTGCCTGCACAGGCAGAATTCACCTTAATCAAGAAACTGCCAAATAAGGGACTAGAAAGATGGCTCAGTGGCTAGAAGCCACCTGCCATAAAGCCTGACAATCTGAATCTGACTTCAATCCCTAAGAACGATATGGTGGAAAGAAAACCAACTCCCACAAGTTGTTCTGTGATCTCCATATGTGCACCATGACACATGTGTTCACACTCACATATGTACTCAAAATAAATAAATATACAGTTTTGCCGGGCATAGTGACATATGCCCTTAATCCTAGTACTCGGAAGGCAGTGGCAACTGGCTCTCTAAATTCGAGGCCAGCCTGGTCTACACAGCGAATTTTAGGTCAGCTAGGGTTCCATAGTGAGGCCTTGGTCTCTCTCTCACACGCACACGCGCGCGCGCGCACACACACACACACACACACACACACACACAGACACACACAGAAACTCTCAAATAGCTCCCGAGTGAAGCACATCCAGTTCAACTCCACCACGCTACTCGCCCCTCTCGTGGCACTGAAGAGTTAATCTTGACAGATCTCGGCCCACAAAGGTGGCCTTGACACCATGTGATCAGACACTCAACTCGCACTCCGGCCAGGGGACGAAAGGACTCAGAGCTGGAGACTGGGACAACAAAATCACGTGACGCTCCTCTCGAATCACGTGCCCCGCGTCCTGTCACGTAGGACGCGCTTTTCCATTGGTTGGCGATGGTCACGCGGAGGGGCGGGGCCGGAAGGCGAGATTTGGCTGTGGTGCCCGAGAGACTTTGGGACAGGCTAGGCGGGGGAGGGGAGCGGGAGGCAGCCCCGGGTCATGTGACCGGAAAGGCTCCTGACGGACGCCGTCCCTCCTCGGCGCCGCCTGAGCGCCCGGCCCGACCCCGCCATGGGGTGCTGCTATAGCAGCGAAAACGAGGACTCGGACCAGGTGCGGCCGCGGCTGGCGGGGTTTGGGACTGTGGGCTACGACCGCGGGACGTGGGGCCCAGGAAAAAGCCCGCAGCGGCCGGGAGCTGGACTGCAGGCTCCCGGAGTACGGAGGCCTGGAGGGGACAGATTACAGAGGACGCCAAGCCGGGCTCCTACCCTCTCAAAGATCTAGTTTTGCTCCAGCCTAGGGTTACGCCGGCGGCCGCCTGCCTCGGCCCCTCCCCCTCCACTTTCCAGTACCCTTGTACTTTCACAGCTTGAATCCTCAGACTGGGTTTCTGGGAAGCATTTGCTTTCTCGGATTCCCGTGCCTTCACTGTTGCTTGTATAAGGACTTTACGAACCCATTCTAGAGATAGGAAATTTGAGGCTTAGTCTCCTGAAATAAATCAGAAAATTGTGTATGTTCTGTTACTGATGTTAAAGAGGTAGTGTCACTGCTGGCCTAGTGTCGGAAGGCCTCTGGAAGTTGGTGGCATTTGAGTTGGCCAGTGAAGAATTTAATCGAGTGAAGACATCGGGACTTGAGGGAAGCAATAGAGTTTAGCTTTGATCCATATGGAGGAAAGAAGGGAGAGTGAGCACATTTGATTGAGATGGGCTTGCTCTTCCCTGCCTGTGCCTGAAGGTTCCTCTAGCTAGAGAGTGCCTCCTGAAAAATGACTGTAGGGTTATTCCTTCGAGAAAACAGGAGCTCGGAGAGATTTCGTGTTTTGTATTTTAAATTTTCCATCTTTCCCTTGGTGCACTCTCGTTTCTCTCCACACCACAACCTGTCTTTTTGCCTGACCACTTTTGAGGAGGGGAGACTCGCAAGGCTGGGTCTCAGGCCACTGGCCATACCTTTTATAGTTGCCTCAAAGCCTGAGTTCTGCTTTCTTTTTTTTTTTTTTTTTTGGTTTTTTCGAGACAGGGTTTCTCTGTGTAGCTTTGCGCCTTTCCTGGATCTCGCTTTGGAGACCAGGCTGGCCTCGAACTCACAGAAATCCGCCTGGCTCTGCCTCCCGAGTGCTGGGATTAAAGGCGTGCGCCACCACCGCCCGGCGAGTTCTGCTTTCTTTACACAGTAAGCACCAAGCCATAAAGAACAGTTTCACTCAATCTAGTGGAGGACACAGTCAGAGAAAGAAGTGGTATCACTGTACTTCAAAAGTTTTTTTTCCCCAGTGAAGGTGCTTTGGGTTAAGAACTGCAGTTTAGGAAAATGTGATTTGTGTGGCAGCGTGAGTGGTTCCTGATCAGGTTATTTGACATGAGTTTGACATGCCCTGTGGCAAGAATCTGTCACTTCATCCTGACCTGCTAAAGGAGAGAACAGCAAAAACAGGAACCCACCACAAAACATCAAAAAAAAGGAGAGGGCAGTATTCCTGCCTAGTGGGAAAATGTCTCTTAAAGCATGTGGTCTGTTATGGGGAAAGGATGCCAAACTTCTAGGAGGGAGAGCTGGACTTGCTTCTTTCCCAAAATTCTACCTTCCCCTTGAGTCTCATTTCTGCTGAGACAAGGTCTCATGTAGCCCAGACTGGCAGACCTGCTATGTAGTTGAGAATGACCTTGAACTTGTGATTCTCCT